ATCGATGTGATGACGCCAATTCAAGCAAGTCATCATAAAAACAACTCCCAGGTACGTCTACGTGCGGACTACTGGAATTAGTTGTCCATCTACGCGAAAGTTCAAGTAGCGGCGCCGGGATCGGCCTGGACCAAAGCACATGACGGCCGTCCTGTGAGGGCCCACAGCAAAATTGAAACGCCATGAGCGTGGTCCGCGGGATCGTTGCACGAGATTGCAACATCGTCCACATACATTAAAGCCAACACATTATTACAGCCACGCTTGATTTTTGATGCTAAACCGTTAACCAAGATGTTGAACAAGAATCCGCTCAAGACCGCACCTTGGCCAATTCCGTTTTCAACATCCCAAGGGTCTGACGTGCATTCAGCAATGCGCACGGCGGCTGTGCGATTGCAGACCACGTCTTGTGGTCATCAATAACATGCCACAGACCGCCTTGAACCCCCCCACGGTGAAGGCGCCACATCGCACCGTCGCGCCATGCAACGTCAAAACCTTCCATATGTCAAGGAAAGCGCAGTAGGTGTGAGTGTTTTGCCGCAAACGGAGTGTTTCAAGCAGTGAATACGTTTGAATATCCGACGCCCAGCGAAACCCAGCCTGGCACTCGTCAGGACAAGGGTCAACGATGGGGTGCATTCTATTCAACACCATCCTCTCCAAAATTTTGGCAAAACAACATGTTAATGTGATAGGCCTGTAACCATCACGGTCATTGCTGTTTGCGGCCCCCTGGGGAAGTGGGATCACCACCCCATGCTTCCACAATGAAGGGACAGCACAACACGCACGACAAAGCTCAAGGAATTGAAGGATTGCTTCCGTCCACCAGGACAAGTCAACGTGCAACGATTTCGGAGGCGTTCAATGGGCCTCCGTACACGTGCAAAATGCTGCTGAGTGAAGGCTGCGTGGTCATGAACAGCAGAACGCGGAAAATGATCACGCCACTCAACTCACGCCTACGTGCACGCCAAGCAGCGTTGCGAGTAAGCAAGGCATCCATGCAGCTGTCATTCCACCACTCCGGTTGTTGTTTCGTGCTCACGGAATGATGATACAACGAACTATCGCCATTCCACAACACGTGCAACAGAAGATCGTACAATTCGTCTAACTTCAACCGGGCGTTGACTGGATAAACGTGTTGGGGGCGGTGCTGCAAAGCATCACGGACTTGTGCCAACCACTGTTGCACGTAGGCTTGTCTCTCCTGCAGCAAAAGGGGCCAATCGCGAACACACGGAGCCTTTCGAGGCGCAGGTGAGGAAGCAGGCACTTCCTGATGCAGGGTGACTGTCAAGGCGAAATGGTCACTGTTCAACAGCGGGCAACAGACGGAGGGATTCGGACAAGGACAATGTTCGCCATTGTGAAGTTCGATTGATGTTACAATATTCGGCGTGGCAAAAATGAGGTCCAGTGCTGCTCCATGGCGCTGGGTTGAGGCATTCAAAGGGTTGCACACAACTAAACCGAAAACATCAAGCAAATGCTGGATATGCTCGATACAGGGACGATCTGCAGCCCTTGGCAAACGATTTTCAACGAGGTCTGGAAACCAAACGTTGCTGTCACCTGCCATGAAAATGGGAATGCCAGGTAAGGCTTCAACGACAGCTTCGGTTCATGCAAACAGGCGTTGCCAAAAGTCTACGCAGTCCAGTTCCCCGCAACCTACATGTGGCGCATAGAACGAGGCTAAAGCCGTGCTGGACAAACCATCCGCCTGGTTCAGGATGCGCCACTGAATGTCGGTTTGGTCATTGAGGCAATTGGCACGAGCTGGTGTTTCAAACTATTATCGTCAAGGATACCAACATCACGACCACGAGAACCACTAGGGCCATCAAAAACAAACAATTGATCATTTTTAAGGTCGGGGCAAAAAGGGCTCTTGCAGTAAAGCGAAGTTGCAACGCTGTCGATGCTAAGAACTGCGCAAAGCTATGAAAAGCACAATGCAGCCGACCAGAAGTTGACCACAACCTGTTGCAGTTGAACACTGCAAGGCGGCACTGGTTGGGCGCATCGGATCCGCCTAATGCCGAGCGCCCCGAGCGTTTCCCGTTCGACGGTGCAAAGGCGGCCGAGTGTCAGGGAACTGGGCTCAGCGGAGCGGCTTTGCACGGTGCTGCGATGGCGGCTTTGACCGGGCTGACCATTATGAGCATATACACGAGGGGTGTGCTGACCGGAAAGGTTCCTGGGTGGCGGCAGAGGTGGCGGCGGCGGGATGCGAGCACAACTGGCGCGAGCTGGAACATTGCGATGGTGCGAGCAATGAGGGTTGGAGCAACATGCCCAGCAGGCACCAGCAACGCATTGGGAAGGGGCCGGATTCCCGCAACTTCGACACGAAGCCAGCGGGCCAACGGTGCGTCTGCCGCGCACACGGGCAGGATGAGCTTGCAACGCTGTGGGCACAGGAGAAGGTGGAGGGAGATCCAAGGCCCTAGGAACAGCAGGGGCCGAATGAGGGACATGGCATGGAGCAGGAGGGGGCGGGGGTGGAGGGCGGTGTTTCCGGGTTGCGGAAACAGCGCGCGAAGGTCTAGGCAGTGGTGGCATGGGCAACGGCACAGGAGGGAGCGTTGCTACAAAAACACAACATGAGGTGAGCATCAACCGCACGGAAGAGTTGGCAAGCTAGGTAGACAACTAGTACAACTACTACGGAGCCTACGCAACGAATGTAGTCAACATTCACATGCCGCATCTCCTTGGCACACATGTGCGACATGGGCAATGTTGCGCGAAATGTCACATGCGCTGTTGATACAAATGTTGGTGCTGAAGAGCCTGTGTAGCGATAATGGGGCAGAGCTACCGGACTGTTGCATCCAGCGCTGCCGTGCGGCTTGATGTGCGCTGCAGTCAAGCAGCGCATGCCAAAGACCCCAAGAACGAGCTTGTGATGGACACGTGTGTCGCCCGTATACAATGGGGTGCAGTTGTGGTGTCGGCTGCCAACACAAATACTGCAACAATGAATCGGTGTCTTGGCCGACAGCCTGAAAATGACCGAACGCGTCATTGCAGATTAGTGTTTTTGCATGCTGCAACCATCGGTGCATAACGGTACGTGGCGCATAGGACGCAATGCCACAAAAAGAAAGGTCAGGCACTCCAATCTACTGCAATTCACTTTGGATGGCAGCGGCCCATGAGGAGGGCTGCGTAACAGCAAAACGGGCAACACGGGCAGTAGGGCAGGTAGAGGGCATGCACAAGCAGCGGGCCCACAGGCCGGCCGCTATTGTGAGACGCGCGGACCACAAATCTAACCAACCAAGCTGCCCTTGGACTGCGATGGATGGGGCACCGCGCGGCCACTTTAGCAAGCGACGACCCCATTGGTACACACGAGTCTGGAGTCTCTCGAGCTGGGAACCTGGAGGTAAAAGCTCAAGCCCAAACAGTGCACTGGGATAGACGTAAGAGTGGAAAATGCGGTTGGCAAGCAGTACGGGCAAGTTTTCAACAGCGGTCCAAAATGAACAAGTGCCATTTTGCCTTCTCCACGGGACAGTAAACCATCAACATGTTGCCGCAACCCTAAGTTGCTTTGAAGCACAATACGAAGGTATTTGTACGATTTTACTACGGGCAATGCCAAACCATCCACATGGAATTCAGGGAGTCGAGCTCGGCCACGCCCGAAACACATGACGGCTGATTTTTGTGGGCCTGCAGCGAAATGAAAACGTCAGGATTTAGCCCACTTAGCAGCGGCATCCAAAGCTAGCTCGAGATCCTTGTGCTCAAATCGGAGTCCTCTAGCACACATGCAGAGCTGGGTTGCTGGAGGGCGCCGCGACGCGAATCGGCAGGGAAGCCGGCGCCAGGTCGCCACAAGCGTCTCTTTGCAGGAGGTCAACCATAATGTCCCCTCCATTTTGCACTGACGGCCGTTCAGCCCCGTCCAACGCGACGGGTCCGTGCGGCTCGGTGCCGATGCAGGGCCAGCTCTGGCCTTTCAACAAGCAAAGGCACGCAAGCTCCACACCTATCCGGAGTTCCCCGGATGGGCAACGTCGTTGCCGCTTGGTGGTCGTTGGACTCGAGGTTGGTTGGCGTGCGCATTGACAAATTGCAGTAACCATGGGCTGTTTGCACGTCCTGGATTGCGGGCAAGCACGTGAGCAACTCCTCGCCTTCCCTCTGCCGCAGCTTGGAATGGAGACACACCCTCCTTGCCGCAGAGTAAACATAGTGGCTGGCTTGTCGCGAAACGGGGAATGGGGAAGGTGCCTGAAGTGCCTCGCATGCTCATACGGAATATGTGGTCGTAGGCCCCCCGCCGCCGACGCTCAGCGCTGTCGTCCGGGGGTCAGCTTCGGTCGGGTCGCCTTTTGCAATGCCGCGACGACAGCCTCGGAGCCTGCGCGCGTGCTCAGCACATTCTGGAACGGCGTGCATGCTGTTCGGAACGCTCCCCTGAACTGCTGTGCCAACGTCGGGCCACGAGGCGGCGAAAGACGTCGCCCATGAACCCTGGTCGCACTCCGCCTGTTGGAATCGTGCATGCTACTGCTGCTGCTACTGCTGCTGCTACTGCTGCTACTACTACTACTACTACTACTGCTACTATTGCTACTGCTGCTACTGCTACTGCTACTGCTACCGCTATTGCTCTTGCTACTGCTGCTGCCGTTGCTGCTACTACTCCTGCTGCTCCAACTACTGCTGCTACTGCTACCACTGCTGCTACTGCTACTGCCACTGCTTCTTCTTCTTCTACTGCTGCTGCTACTACGATCACTCCTAGTGCTACTACAACTCGTCCTCTTCCTCCTGCTGCTCCTGCACCTGCTCCTGCCACTGCCACTGCACAAAAACCAAAACGTAAGACAGAAAGGATAGGAAGAGCAGGAGCAAGCAAGAATGCCACCCAAGCAAGCATTTGCTCGACATGAGCAGCTGGGTCTTTTCTGCTCTTTGGAAACCTTCCCTGAACGAGCAGCTGCCAACTTGCACAAACCGGCCAAGTCGCGCAGACACTCCCGGTATCTAGCCAGCTGGAGTTCCGCTTGCAAGGGCTTGGACAACAGGTTGAGGATGGGCAGGTGAACATCCTGAACTTCAGAACTGATGTTTCCGAGACGATGGGGAGGATCAGGCGCATCTCTCGGGGTCTCTGACGGTCGCCAAAACACCTACTTTCAGCCAAAGGCCATAGCTCTAGACCCAACTACACTGCTCCCGCAAAACTCGAAGTGCAGGATGCAGGGCTGAGCTTCTGGGTGACCCTTTCTCAACAATACAGCCCAAATCCTTAACCCTGAACCCCTCCAATTCTCAAGCTGCTGGCGAGAGTCCAGGCTCAGCGCCTCGTGCCTGCGAAACGAATTTTTGCTCGGACAGGTGTGGCTTCAGGACACAGGGCGTGAGCTTGCCGGCTCAGTCAGCGACAGGCGGGACAGGTAGAATCCCTTGGAGGTTGTCATTCCACTCTGGCTTCTGCTGTTCGACGCACTGGAGCCACGGGGTTAGGCTTGGAGTTCAGGGTTTGGGAGTCGGGAAGACACAAGAATCCATGGTCAGGTCGGCGACTTCACTTCAGCTCAGGTCGGGGTCACAAAGTTTGGGTGACCTCGCTGTATTTTGGCCACTTGCTCGTCGTGTGTACACTCCGACTCCTGGACCCCATCTGCGTGGCCTCAAAGCATAGGTATACTGCAGGAAGCGCGTAACGCGATGCCCCAGATCCGCGGGAATCTCGTTCTGCCTGAGAGACTGCTCAGGCGAGCTGGTTTGGTTGGCAAGCAGCTTAGTATGTCTGTTCAGAGCATTGAGGATGTTTCTTTTAAGCATGGATGCTTTGCTTGGGGATGTGAATTCATCCTGGGCACGAATGACATCGCTGGAAATAATTTTCAGCTGGACATCCAAGGCCATACTGCTACTGCCCAAGCCCTCTTGAGCCCTGAAGCTTTGAGATGTTTGACGTCAGTTCTGACAAGTCTTCGTAGTAAGACATTCAAGCAATCTTTCGGGAACTGCTGAAAAAGAGGAGGATACCTCCCTAAATCCTGACTGCAGACAGCACGTCCTGCCAAGCAGCACGAGGAAGCGCCGAAGAGACCGGAACTGTTCGATCTCCTCTTGCAGCCAATTTCTGTTTAATCAGCCAAAGGCTCACCTCCATGAAAACCACAGCCCTGAACCCCTCCCGTACATGCCCTCAGCCGCTACGTCTTCGTGCGGTCCCGAGTGTGGGTCTTTCGGCTACGCCATCTTGTATTTGTGCGGCTATAGAGCTAGGTTTTAGGGTTTGGTTGAGGGCATGGTAACATCACAGGGGCCTGGCACTTGAGCTCTCCATGGGCCAGACACTGCCCAAGCCAGCTCCTCAACTCCATTGACCCATGCACTCACGCCAGGAAATCCTTCAACAGAGAGAGCTGATCAGACTACTAAGTAGCTGTTTTACCCGAAGTAGCATACGATGCGACCATAGCATCATGGCCTGACAGTACGTCAAACTGTCAATAGGGGTCGAAGATTCCGATAGCTTGCCCCCAGGTCCCAAGCACTCCTCGTTCTTGAGGCGCTGGAGACTGGCCATCAGAGACGTGACCGAGCTCACCTCTCCGATCGATGGGCTTTGAGGGGTTTCAGGTCTTGGCGGAGTGTTCTTCTCGGACTTGTCGAACTTTGGTCGAGCTTGGGTCTTAAGGTCCGGCGCTGGTATGCTGGCTTTCGGATCTCTTTTGGCACTAGGCTGGCCCAAGCCGGAAAGGCTAGGGGGAGAAGGAAATTCCGAGTGCACTGCGCCATACGACTTGCCGTTGGTTCCAGATGCCGCTTAGGCTTTCAGTCTTCGACGCTGGACCTGTTCGTGGGATGAAATGTAGCAGCATGTGGCAGTTGCTCATATGGCTTCGGAACCGCAAGGTTTCTGAAGATTTGGGTTCTGAGCGGCTCAACTGGTCCTTGGTATTCTTCTGCCACGACAAACATTCTTCGACATTGCCAAACTGTCCCATGCTGTGATTTCTCACTCCGAGACCTCTGAGGTCCACAAGATATCATGCAGACTTTGGCTTTTCGGTACCGGTACCGGACCCCCTGCCCCACCAGCGTGGAGAAGGTGATCAAAGCGCAGAAAGTGATGAAGATGGAGAACAGTCGCTCCTTGGCCGGGAGCCACAATCAACTCCGACAGAGACCGGGAAGTGAGAGCACAGACAGACCCTTAAGTTCAGATGCCCTCATGCCACCCCGAACCTGAATACCTTCTTCCTGCAAGAGAGCGGGCAGTATCAAGAACTTGCGCGGCATGCCGAAAGGTAGAATGCAGCTACATGTAGCATGAATCCGGAATAGCTCCGCCCGTACATGCAGGCCCTTCCATTTTCAGTTGCAAACATCTCGAGATTCCCCGGCACCTCCCAGTCGAGAATCGAAAAGATTTCAAGACCAGGGAGCGGCAAAGTTGACTGCCTCGATGTTCGTCTGCCCCACGCCAAGCTGGGTTAAAGACCAATGCAGCGCAGTGCTGTACCTCGTCCATACATATATATATATGTATATGTATGTATGTATGTATGTATGTATGTATATATATATATATATGGTGGTGCTGATGACAAGGACTGTATGTAGGGCGAGGGGAATGATGAGGACAAGATGTTTTGTCATTGCATCAGCCTGTTCCGGTTCCGGACGACAACAACAACAGCAGCACAGAAAAACAAGGCCGCGCTCGGCAGAGTCGTAGTAGTACAAGTGTTGCTGTTTTTGGTGGTCATGATGATGATGATGATGATAACGGTGTTTATGTTGCCGATGTTGTTGGTGTTGCTGTTGATGATGATCTCAGTGTTCCTGTTCTTATTCTTGTGTGTTCTCGTGTTGTTCTTGTTGTTCTTGATTCTTGTTGCTCTGGTTCCTGCTGCTGTTGTTGTCCAGCAGCAGCAGCAGCAGCAGCAGCAGCAGCAGTACTAGCAGCAGCAACAGCAACAAGAGGAAGGACGGTCGTAGTGATGGTAATTGTCGGGATCGGGGTAGTTCTACTACCAAGTGCAATGAGGAGGGGCTGATATTCGATGGAGCGGCCCTCCAGCTGGTTCTCGGTAATCCTCAGTGTCCCAGACTGGCCGGATGCTGGGCTCAGGATTCTGAAGGGGGGTCCTGGAAAATGTGGAACTCGACTTGAGTTTTCCAGTCACTGACATGCGACTTTCTTTGCTTGACAAGTTGAGAAACACAGTGCCGGAGGTTTGTTGCTTTACCTACATCCGTGGTTTGCTGGACTCGTGGTGTAGCATGACACGGTCGCTGATGTTGCGAGGCAGGTGCGGTAATTAGCTGATCATACAAGCCCACCTTTGTGGAAACCCCCCTTCTTGCAACCAGGAATGCAAGAAGGCTATTCCAGGGGTCGTGCTGTCAGGTGTTTGCAAGTTCAACAAGTCCAAGCTTAGGCAATCGGCCAGTTTGGCTGGCCCTCGTCCAGCTGCGCGATGCCCCACCAGGAGCAAGCGATCACGTGATTCCTCGGTCTCCGGGCAGGGGCTTTATCCACGAGGCCACCCGAGCCGTAGTCAGGTACTGCGACACCGGCCTCAGGGATTTGTGAACTACAGACTGGTCGTGTGGCCCGATGCCAGACCGAGCCCATGAATTGGCAAAGGAAGTAAACTGAAGTCCAACAAAGGCTCTCAGCACGAAAGAAGCTAAGGACCTCCGTTCAATGATGAAAGGCCCTGCCAAGCTCGAAATCCAACAAAAGCTCTAGGCAGGCAAGGAAGCAGCAGCATCATCCGGCCGATGATCTTGAAGATGCTGTAGTGGATGGTTGCCTTCGGCATGGATTAAAAACAAAGGGTTGGTTCAATGAGACAGGAAGGGCTGAGGTATCAAGGACGTGGTCTAGCTCTGGCACAAGACATCATATGATACTACATCCTCCCACCTCGCTGTGGACACCTGAAGCGGACCGGTTGGGAACGGAGCGCAACCGTGAAGCCTAGAGCCACCACTAGCTAACAGCTAACAACCCCTGGACCGCCAGTATGTTGCACCTTGCAGCATTGTGCCATCTGCATACTCATGATCGCACGGTCTGCGTAGTGGTTCAACTATTTAGTTCGGATGGTGACGGTGGTAGTACTCGTTGCTGCTGTTGGTGGTGATTTTGGTGGTGCGTTTGGTTGCATTTGGTCTAGCTGCTGCTGCCCTGCGGCTGCTCTTCATGCTGTTGCTGCTGTTACCACTGCTTGTGCTATTGCCGAAATTACAGGCACATGCAACTCCTTGCCAAGCGCAGCCTCCAATCCCAGAAGAACCGGTCTCTTAATCTCGGCTTCGAGGCACTTCTGCAATCTGATGCAATCCGAAGCCATCAACGCAAGCGCATTCTCCCGAAATCCGACATGACTGCAACTCATCTTGCAGGGCGAGGCACCACTTGTGAGTTGATCTGCTCCTGCCAGAGGCTCGAGGGGCCTACTGGGGTTCGTGGCTCTCAAGTCTCTCGGGGTGTCATCAAAGAGAAACACCGAGGGTCTCAGAGTCTGAAACAAGGTGTGAAAGAAGGACATGAAGCAAGAAGAAGCAAGATAGTGGCAGAGACGCAACGGCAAGACAGCTGCGTACGGCCAAGCCCTACACTCCCTGCACCCCTCAGCCACAACATAAACCCAAAATCCCACAGCCTTTCCGGAACCTGAAAGTCAGAACCCACACCCCTAAACCCGAACTTCAAGGAACCCTGACCGGACCTGTAGCGGCCCTAGCAGCCCTGAAAGGATCCCCTCCTCAACCCCTGCAACGGGAGGCCTGGAGAGCTTCCACCATGGTACTGACCTTCGCGAGCCTGGCAAGGCGGACCAGGCCTGCACCGCTTTAGGGGCTTCTTTTTGCTTTGGGGCTGCTTTGGGGGCTTTGGGGGTTTTAGGGGTTGGAGTGTTGTTGGATGATTACAGGGCGTCAGCTTTACGGTGCTGTAGCTGGTTCTGTGGGGTTGATGAGGTCCTTTGCGTGGCTTTTGAAGTTCGGCGTGATACTTGATGATGATGAGGTGGAGGAAGGGGAAGAGGAGGAGGAGGAGGAGGACGAGGAGGAGGATGGCGATGGCGATGACGATGATGATCAGGATGATGATGGTGGTGATGACATTGATGATGACCGTGGTCATCAACATCAACACCGTCGCGTTCATCATGATCAAGATGATGGCCACGATCGTGGCGATGATGGTGATGGTGATGGTGATGACGATGAAGATGATGGCTGTGTGTATTATCATTGTTGTTGTGGCTGTTGTTATTGTTTTTGTCGTTGTTGGTGTTGTTGCTGCTGCTGCTGCTGCTGCTGGTGTTGTTGTTCTTCTCACCGTTATTGTGTTTATAATTCTCAGGCTTCTGATCCTCCACTGCGATCATACAGGGTCGTTGCCGAGGGGAGACACCCGACACCCGGGACCCAATATAAGGTCTAGGATTTTCTTTTAATGGTACCCTGTCTTTTTGCTCCTGACCCCAATGCCCGAATACCATATGTATCCATAGCCAGCAAGGTTTAGGGTCCTGGGCTGTTTTCTGTTCTATACATGGTTAGGGTACCGTAGTCATTTTTTGCAAATGCCCCGTAAGAAGCCCGAACGCCTAATACAAACCGTATGAAGACCCTACCTAAACCCCATACAAACCTATACAAACCCTACCTAAACCCTGCCAACAACCCTACGGAAACCTTACCTTTCAAAACTTATGAACTCTGAACCGTTCAGTGCTTCATTGCTGTCCAGGAGCGCAAGAATCGAAGGATTCGCACCGTCTTCGAAAGACGGGCCACGCCAGCGGTTTGCTGGGCACCAGGAGCTTTAGAGTTTAGAGCTTTAAGGTAAGTGTTCAAGTGTTTAGGGTTGAGGGTTTGGGGTTTGCAGTGTCAGGTTGAGGGTTTGCAAACGGGAACAAGATGAAAGTACGCAGGGCAATGCTTCTGAAGAACCTTGTTGATTAATCTCATTGTTCTGATTGTTCTGACCTATCTATGTGCCGATTCAACCACGGATTGCCTATACTCGAAATCCAGGACTTACCGGTGAGGTCCAGAATACTGCCACCCCACCCACCCCCGGGGGCGAAAACTTGTACTTGATTTTTGGGTCTCGGGATTTAGGGGACCTTAAGCTTCTTCTCTGGAGGCTGAGATGTTGCAATCTCGGCTAGAGGTTGTGTTCACAATGTACCTTCTTGCAGGCACCGAGACCTTACCAAAGGACGCGGCCCAGTCACATTCCGCCCCTCTAGGCCATAAAGAAGCCAATCGATTCCTGACAACCAAACACTTTTCAACTCAAGTCTTCAGCACTGTCAACTCTGCAAACACCACACATACGAACAGGCTACAGGCGCAGAAGCAGCCAAGTGGGTGGCAAAGAGCTGTCAGGCAAATGGCCGCACCCCACTGTTTGGTTGACATGCTGCATTTGCCAGACAGGAGCAGCCGCATTCTGCTGTAATGAACGGAAGCACTGGGGCCGGGACCCACGACGGTGGCGTCGAAAGGAAACCACGTGGTGGCATAGTGCTTGGCGATGCGTCCTCATCACCAGATTCCCCAATCTCCCACCCAAATCCCGCGACAAGGAACGGTCACATTAGAGCCAGAACTGGTCTTGCAAGGGGCATGGGAAAAGGCCCAGGGGTCCTTCGTTGTGAAAGCATGAAGGGTTCTAGGAGGGTTATTACAAGGATTGGTTACCATAGCGGTAACGTTCCTGTAATCAGTACTCAGAAGGGCCTCTGACAAGAGGACTCTGACAGGGTGTCCATGGGGTGCATCAAAGTCTAAACCAAAGACGCTGGAAACGAGCCTTATGAAGCTTCGGTTACCGTTCGGGTTATATACGAGACAGGCTATCATCTTGGGCCATACTGGGGTCATACAAGGCTGCGCCGTATAGCCCGACTGATGCGGAATCGTCCAAAGACACGGAGAAACAGAGGTGTCCTTGCAGCAAACTGCCTCTTCGGGACCCCAAGGGCCACAACTCCCAACAAACACCGAAACGAACAGCACAAGGGCCTGAAAATAAGAAGCGGCGCTTGGCTTCCTCACAGAATCACTACGTAAAGGTGGACTATATGACTACTGTATGAATGGGGACCCGTCTCTCAGATCCATTATCCGCTGTGCCAGCGGCTGAGGTCGAGCACAAGGATGCCCTTGTGGTAGTAGCCTTGGTTTGGTTTCAATTGCTCGAGTGGCGTGCTGTCGCATGTGATTCACCCGATATCATCGTATGCTGTCAGGTAGAGGTGCTTTGTAGGGTAGTTGTTGAACGCAAGACCTAAGACTACAGCTTACTGGATCATCTATTTTCATCCCCATGCAATCCTATATGGTGGCCAAAACAACAACGACTGTGTGTTGTCGTAAGTGTTTGATACCATAGTCGTAATTAGCAATTATTATTGCCTCCCATATTACAGCTTACCTCATTCCCAGAGCATCCTTCACGCCGCTTAGAAAGTTGTAGGGGGCAACCTTTGAGTCTTCTTCTACACCCGCAAAAAGCTCGGCGGCATCCCAACCAGCAACGTCCACAAGAAACCAGTCAGAACAAGAGCCGCATCTTTGAGCCACCGAGCCGGTAATGAAGGAGACGAGGATGTCCAAGTTCCAGAATAGCCTGGGTCTAGTCGGGAATGCAGCAAGGCTTCGCAATGACTGCGGGCTTGAACATTGTCAGGTGTAGAGTGCTAGGAAGGATATGTAGTGCTCCAATATTGCAATATTCGTCCGCTTCGACTCCTGGTAGGATACAGCGCTACATAGAACTCCGGATGAGACATCCCAAGACTGCAAATTGCAAGAGAATGGCAATCAACATGCAACCATGCCTGCATGGTGCAGCGACGATAGACCTCAAGGAGAACATGATGTAGTTGCACGATCCGTCTATGTGCTTAACATGCTGACCTTTTAGGAGTGACTCTCTGGCATTCCGTTGCTGTACGGCATAGGGACAGCAAGAAGAGACCCCGCTCTGGAAAAATGCCCTGCCGTTGCGACCCCGCCAAGTAGCTGTGTCACCCAGGACATGATCACCAGGACGAGGGTCTCCGGTGGGTCGAAGAAGCGCAGCGGGATCACGACTGGCGAACTACAGATTACATCCACTGTACACGCTAACAAGAAACTACCAGATCCAAGCTCCTCCTTGAAGGTGCAGAAGGGCCAGCGTAGACCCCAAACGGTGACTGCAGCGGGAGCACGAACACCCGAAACCGCTGGACTGTGGCGGGAGCATGACTTCGCGAGGTGGAAACGCAAGTCCGGGAGATGCCAGAGCATGCTTGTCTGTGCTTCGCCGCCAAAGTTTCCAACATCTTGGATGTTACAATGACTTCGGCGTACCCGACGGACCGGGGGAACGTCCGCGATGTTCAGTCGCCTAAACATAATGCCCCCCCATAAAGTTGCCACACTGTTCTGTTTGGGAACTTGCTGTTCGAAAGCTAAACATTTGATTGCTCGCCTTTTCTTTGCCTTCACAAGATACATAGATCATGGCCCTTGAAGATGCTTCGCTCCAGAGCTCCAGCACTTCTTGTTACCCTCCACTACAGAATGAATGAAGCAATAGGAGCCCGAAATGCCCCAACTCCTCTCTGCAGCCCAAGAAGAAAAGAAGTATGAAGTAAGCATCTGATGCTAGGAAGACTGGCCACAACCTATCAGGAAAAGAATCGAAGAGTTGCCTCTGAAACCCCGGAATCGAATGGCCAGTCTTGCATTCGATAGGCGATAGTAGTCAGGCTGAACCACTTCTTCCATTCTCTGTAGGAACAAGAAACAAGAAATCGGGGCAGACGGTCAGAGGGCTCCAAAATAGCCGGGAGGCCTATGTCAAAGGTGAGCAAGGTCATCCCCAGAACATCCCACCAGGCTCGGAGAGGACTTCCGGGATGCCTTTGTAGCCGGGGACTGACTGGGGTTTGGAGCTCAGGGCCTTGGGCCTTTGGTGAATCAGCTCACTTAGGGCTTAGGACCTTAGGAAATACAGGAAGTGGTGATCCTGATCATGATCAGGGTGATTATGATGTTGAGGGCGTGTTCTGGCCTTGTGGCCTTTTATGGGCCCACTGGCCCAGCAACTTTACACGTGATGATGATGATGATGATGGCGGCTGCGGTGGCCATGACCAAGCTAGAAGCCTTCTCACTACCAGTCCCTCTGATGATGACACGTCTTGCTCATGGCACCTTTCAGTCTGCTACTGCTATGACCACTGCTACTAGACTCGCTTTTGATGCAGCTGCTGTTGCTACTGCTTGGACTTAAGGCTGCTTCGTCAGACTGAAACCAAGCTGGATCTCCACAGGCTAGCGGCAGCGACGACTTCCCAAGCAGCCCAAGAAATGAGCGAAAAGGAAAAGTGAAAAGAGCGCTGTTCGTGAAGGTCACTGGATGAAGGGCAGCACGGACTCCCTCGCAGATCCTTCACAGCACTACGAAGATCTGGATACCAGGCTCGGGGGCTTGGGGTTCGGGTCTGCAAGAAACTGGCTTCATGCGAACCCTGAGATGCATCAAGCCTCTAGAAAACCCAGCAAAACGTTGAGACCCGGACTCCACACAAAAGCCAACGCACGCCTTCTATGATCGCTTTCGACGAATCTGGAAAAACCATTTGAGCACTGCTGCCTCGGATGAGGCTGGCACTGGGATTGCGCGACTCACACCGCTCGTTCAAGAGAGTAGCAAACCCAGGTTCTGCCTGCATCATAATCCTCCGGCCTACTGCGAGCACTCACGAGATGTCGGCAATCGACCAAGCCTCTCAAAAAGGTGCAAGGCAGCACGCGCATCGGCCCTCAAACAAGCTAGACTCGACTTCAAAAGCCCGACATCATGCTTGTGGTCAGGGCGGCTGTGCTTGCGACCGGGTCCGCTGGGGCCCTCGGCAAGCGGCTCTTCGTCCACCTGTGCTGAAGAGGCTGTGGATGCTGAGGGCCCAGATTCAGCATCTGAAGTATCCCTACAAGCTTGTTCCTGAGCTTCCTGCGTGGTTGCGTGGTATCTTGAATCTGTCAGTCTCCAAGCTCTGACACTCAACATGATGAAAGCATGATAGCCGTACACACAGGGCTTCCGAAGATTGCAAGCCTGAGCCTGAGCCCTCCAATCTCAACCTCACAGGCGCCCCACCGCCCGATGCCAGAACTCTCGGAGCTTGAACTCGAAGTGAGGCTCGTCACCTGCCAGCTCAGCGCAGTCCAACAGCTTTCAGATTTGTACTTCCTGGTCCCCTTATTGGTTGCCTTTGAGTGCTGTTTTCGTTCTGCACAGAGGGTTGCGGGTCGAGGTAAACGATTTCTGGCAAACTGCCTCGTGAAATTCTCTGGTCTGTGCTTCACTCAATTGCATGAAACCCAGCACAGCAACGATTTCCAACAAAGCTACTAATGCTGCTTCACTCCTGCAGCTTGCAACACCACAACCGATGCTACTTCTCGAACAACTCTCCTGCTCTGCTCCTGCTCATGCTGCTGCTCCTGCTGAAGCTGCTGCTCCTGCTGCTACTGCTGCTGCTGCTCCGGCTGCTACTGCTGCTACTGCTGCTGCTGCTGCTGCTGCCGCGGCAACTGCTGCTGCTGCTGCTGCTGCTGCTGCTGCTGCTGCGACTGCGACTGCGACTGCGACTGCGACTGCGACTGCGACTGCGACTGCGACTGCGACTGCGACTGCGACTGCGACTGCGACTGCGACTGCGACGGTGCTGCTACTGCGACTGCTACTGCTACTGCTACTGCTCATGCTACTGCGACTGCTACTGCTAATGCTAATTACTGCGACTGCGACTCTTGCTGCTACTGCTACTGCTGCGTTGCTACGACTGCTATTACTGCTACTACTGCTACTGCTGCCACACCACCACCACCACAACCACCACACCACCACCACCACCACCGCCGCCACCACCACCACCGCCACCACCACCACCACCAGCACATGCCATGGCAACAGCTACTGCCAGCATTGGCATCAGTGTGAATCTGTGCTTCTACTAGTTTTTGCATTTCCAGTACTCGGCTTTTCGCCATCGCTACCGCTGAGACGTTAAAAATAGTCCAAACTACATCAGTATCACACACAGGCCACCCACAGTGGTGCAAAGCTCGAGGCAGATCCATGGGTTGCCTCCCTCTCCAGTACCGCGACCGCTAACCGAGTCCTCATCTATGCGGCCGAATGTGCCTCGCCGGAATCAACAATTCGTCATCAATCCAGCGGCACAAAGCATGTGCTATCAGACCGTGCCCCGTGTCATGAACTTCTTTTGATGTGCGTTTAGCCTATTCTGCAGTTGCCGCTTTGGATATGGGGCTTCGTTGGGCAAGGATTGAGCCGAGAATAGGCAGCTGTCCAAAACGAAGGGCACGAAGTCCTGAAGACCACCACAAGTAGACGCAGTAGTCGTCGTCGCCGACGCTGTTGTAGCAGTAGCAGTAGTAGTAGCAGTACTGAGTAGCAGTAGCAGTGGCAGTAGCAGCAGTAGCAGTAGCAGTAGCAGTAGCAGTAGCAGTAGCAGTAGCAGAAGCAGAAGCAGGAGCAGGAGCAGGAGCAGTAGCAGTAGCAGTAGCAGTAGCAGTAGCAGTAGCAGTAGCAGTAGCCGTAGCGGTAGCAGTAGCAGTAGCAGTAGCAGTAGCAGTAGCAGTAGCAGTAGCACTAGTAGTAGGCAGCAGCAGGAGTTGTTGTTGTTGTTGTTGTTGCTGGTGCTGTTGCTGTTGC